AATTCATCTGATGAAGATTTCAATGAACAAACCATTTATAACATACTGCCTTCTGTGACGAGAAAAATTAGAAACGTTCCTAAAAAATGACGATTAGCCAACATCCAACGTTGTGATTGGTCGACGCTAAAAAAGAGCGCGAAATTTTGAATTTTTGTATACTTTGCAATATTTGTGTTATATGTCTAGGAGGGTGAAATTTATATTTCAGCAATGAATTCAATTTCAAAATGAATAATATGGACCATAATCTGCAAGAATAGAAATATACCTTTAATTAATCATTTGTTGAAGAACATAAAAGGTTACATTTTGAAATTATCAATATTGTTTTCTTATTTGGTTGAAAAAGAGAGAAAGTTAATAGAATTAAATGGAGGAAAATACATTTTTATCTTTTGTACATTGTAAATTAAGATATACGGGCAACGGAAACTAATTAGAGTAATAAACCCGTCACATATAAAGAATGTTCACGGATGTTTTCAATGAGACAACAAAAAACACACGATGTTAAATGTGTTATTCATACTATAATATAAGACTAGGACCGAAACCACTATTATTTAGTATGTAAAGCTTAATATTCTATGATAATATAATAGCTTAGTACTTTTTATCAATTGTAGATTTAATTAATTTTTTGAATAATTTTTCTGATACATCTTGAAATGGGTAAAAATTCATCAGTTTTTGTGAAAAAAATGTGTACAAATTCTATTTTCATTCATCAATGAATATCGATGGATGTAATCCTATATAAAAAAGTGATGGCCTGGAAAGTGAAGGTAGTTTATTCGTGATCTGTTTGGTTGAAAGTTAGTCACTTGCTCAGCTGTCATCTGATAGTATATGAATTGTGTGTTTATGAAAGATTACTATAGATTTTTGTAGACGAGTTAACGTTTGACAAAAAATAAGTATAGTTGGCATGAATTTTATACGAAAAGATTGATTTAATCATACTAATATCAAAATAAACATCAACTGATACCTTGATAAAGAAATTAATTACATTTTGCTCTGTAAGAGTTTAGCTTTAAATAAACAGAGTAGGTAATAAAAGATATAAATTGATAGATTATTACAATAAAATATTGAGCAGAGATTTAGGCTCTATTCAGTTGTATAAATTATTAAAAAATATTTTTGAGAATGTAGAATTATGACCGTAAACGCCTACCCAAGTCTGTTATTACATCATAAAGGATACGGTTATAGGAAATTGTAATGTTTTTAGGACTTATATTTTTTATCATGTTTTTGAAACTTTTCAATAATCATTCAAAACACAACTTCGGATGATAAAAATAAAACTTCATTGACAAAATTTTTAAATCATGTGTAAACGTAACTTCGTATTTATTTATTAATAATTATATCGTCAGCTATATCTCATATCAAATCATGGGAATATAAAATGCATGTTGAATGTTCGAATTTTCAATTTTGCCGATAAATGTTTTGAGTGATATTCGTGTATTAAAATGAATGGAAAAAAGATTAAAAAGATGAGCGCGCGATGCGCTCTAGATATCACTAATGTATTTCAAACAGCATGATTTATTCGTGCCCATTAAAATCTCCAAATGTGGTATGTAAAAGGTTCCTATAATGTAATGAGTAATAGAGAAACGGAAAAGAAAGAGCATGCTTAATAATACTAGTCACAGAAAATGTCGATGAATAGTCACGCTGTGGTACTATCAAAAAAATTAATTTTACAAGAAGATAAGACAGAATGTATCCAATAGAATAACTTTCTCAAGAAACGATCTAAAAATATAGATAGTATCGAAAAACACTTCGCTAAGAGAAACTGTGTTCGAACAATAGAAAAGAAACTGTTAAAAAGAAAGTTGGTGATCATGATTCAAAAGAATAAATGTGATAAACACACGAATAAAGCAAATATTTCCTTGAAAAATAAAGACCAGTTTTATAAGATTTGTTATGAAAATTAGGTAAAAAGCATGAGAATGTACATTCACTGACATACGAAAATAACATAGAAATGTGTTACTTAAATGTTAAATGTTGTTTAGTCCATGAAAATTACGTAGAAACTAACCAAGGATAATATACAGGATTTTATTTGTCCTGACTGTATTGAATGAATAATTCTATTGATCTTTTTTCAGTTAGAATTTTTTATGATATTCAAGCATGAATACCACGGCAAAACCTTAAAATCCTATGTGTTTAAATTTAAACGTTTTAAGTGTGTAATTCTGACGTCACCCATAAGAAATACATTGTCGCTGAATTTAAACGTTTAGAAGTGTTTAAAATTGAAGACAACGTTTAAATTTAAACACATGGGTTTACCGTGTACGTGATGAAAATCACTCTTTAGTTTTCTATAAACCTTACTTTAGTTTTCAAAGCTATGATAGGTACTTTGTCAAATGATCATAAGCTCTTTGTTATTTTTAGTTTACTTGATGCTATAGTGAATTGTATAAAAATATTTGTATTTCACAGCTTGCTTTTATCGAATTCATCATAAAGTGCTTTAAATAATGATTAAGACTTAAGATAAAGAATTGACAAAAATCACTTTTTGGTTTTTTATAAACTAAAGATTTCGAAGTCATGGTACATTATCTTATTGTGATTAAATGTTATAAAGTGTTTTGAATAACAAAAGTATGAAAAGAAGTTGTCTTTTCTTTAAAACAATATGTTGATAATGTAATTTTTCATAATAATTTTATATAATAAAATTAATGTAATTTAAAATAGTTATATATCGAAATTAGTTTAATATTACGCATTTTTTGGGGTAAAAAAATCAATTCTTTGAAGCGCAATAATCTAGTTTCTAACGTATGAAATAAATTGTGTGAGGACTTATTTTAAAGCTGCTATCATAAATTGTAGAGTAAGATATGATTCTTTCGTTTGGAAGCTATAGCTATTTGAGCTTCGCAGTCCGGTATTGGGTACAGGTACCGAACGAGAGACGCATTGCCGCCGCGGTCGCCTCATTTTTATTGTCCGAGCTTGCAAGCTCGTTACCAACAGTTCGGCGATGTTTATCGCCCCGAACAAAATACAAGCCTCGTTAAAGTCGCCAAGATCTTTCCGAAAGTTCGTGAAATTTGAATAAAAGCGACGGTCTGCAAATTGCCAGACAGTAGCTGTATTTTTGGTCTTTTCAATGTGATTGAATGAAGAGAGCACGCAGACCGACCTGGTCGAATCTTTCCGATGTCGTATATTTTCTTAACGATCTTGTCAAAAGCGGGCTGCCTGACAATATCTCTCTCTCTCTCTCTCTCTCTCTCTCTCTCTCTCTCTCTCTCTCTCTCTCTCTCTTTCTCGAGCAGGCATTTGTGAGGTGGCTAAAGATAGTCGATAGGCTGCTGAAAAATCGCGGTGTCTTTTAGGTATTTCGAGCGAGCCTACGCCGAGGAAAAAGAAGTGACACAATCAATTGTAGCTATTTCGATTGGAACTTGAAGGAGAGCTAGCGTAGGAGAGAGCCGCCAAGCGATACTCGACAGACGAAAGAGAGACAATTTTAGATGGAGATTTATGTGTCGTGAGTCGCAATTTTTCCCTCGTCGCTGTACAATTGTCGGCGACACCCACGAACCATCAGCCGCCGACTGCAACGACTGCGTCAACATTATCGACACTAGCTCTGGTAAAATGAGAGCAAGAGACTTTCGACCAGGCCAGTCGATTATACAACATCAGATACGTTAGTGTGCAACATCGTTTCGACAGAAGCCAGTGCTTTGCTTTTTCCTTGGCCGAACAGACGAAATTGCGATGAAAATAATCGAGGCATGATTCACTGGAAAAGAAACCGTGGAATTTACGTAACCGCTGTATTTGCGGATCGAAAAAAACAGACGGCTATCGAGAGAAAGAGTCTATGCGCTTTGAAAATATGCGAGTGGCAATCGTTAATCAGTTTCCCAAACAAACCGTCAGTTCAGACTACATTTTGCTCTTGTCGAGGTCTGCCGAGGCTAGCTCCGGCGTACTCGGCGAACGGAGGTGATCAGCCGTCAAAGCATCCTGACGATCGTCTCGACGAGTGAGGCGTCAGGCGCGTCAATGGTTATTAATGCCGATAGCCGATTGCTACTAACGAGCACGCGCGAAACGCCAGCGACAGCCTCAATAATCACGTGCTCGAATACCAAGCGAGTGGGCGAACCAATTAGCTCATCGAAATGTGCAAGGGCTCCGTGGCCGCGTGGCGCCGAAGGGGCCGGCCGGCCAGGGCATGGCCGGGCTAGTCTAGCATAGATCAGCTTGGGAGCAGCCGATCGGAATGCGCTGTCAGAGCTCCTCGCCGAACCAATGACCCACGGGTAAAATGTCCGCTGCTGTTCCTAATTAAGACTGTTTTCGTCGAAAGCACTGCGCCCGACCCAGTTTCGCTGCCTTTGCCTCGCCGCCTCTGTCGCTCGAGGAAGACGCGTGTCACGCTGCGCTGCCGCCGCTGCTGGACTGCCACCTCGGGAATCTAGGCTTGTTTCTCTCGGCGATCGAGTCCGCAGAGGAATTCGGCCACCGTCGCAGGCAGGCAGGCAGGCAGGCAGGCAGGCAGGCAGGCAGGCAGGCAGGCAGGCAGGCAGGCAGGCAGGCAGGCTGGTAGGCAGGCGAGCAGGCGGACAGGCGGCAAGACCGTCTGGCTCTATCGCCTCGACAACGAAGAAATATTTTGACGCCAAAATAAGCATGTGCCGCTGGCAGTAGTAGTTGAGCCAGCTGCCATCGCCAGCGAGATGGGTACCCGGCTCTGGCGTCAGCTGCACTTCCAGCGAGCGCTAGTCGCGCTAGGCGCAGGGAGAAAGTCAGACGAGGAGAGCGGAGCCCGAGGGAGAGTTTGTTTGTTAATATGGGTTAGTCGCGGTGGCACAGCACGCGCAGGCACGTGCGATGTGAGTGAGTGAGAGATCAAACAGCACACGGCTTTTTAGTCGGCTCTCCGCAGAGACACACGGACACACGGACACACGGACACACGGGCTGCGTACCGTCACAGTGTTTACAGCGTTTCGCCCTCGGCTCAGGCATTCTGCGGTGACCTCGATTCGTTCACCGGTGTTCCATCGCTGCAACTGCGCGCACAGCCTCACTCGCGCACCTCCGCTGCGGGCCCGTGCTCGAGCGCACTCCAAAGTCAGCGGGCCAGTGCACACTGCTGCCCGCGAAACGCAAGCGGTCGCAGAGACGCACGGCGCGCCAGTCACTGTCGCGGCACAGACACTCGTCGAGGGGCTCCGGGCCGCGGCTAGCAGGCGCTCCGGCTCTCGGCTCCGAGTGCGCTCGCCGTCGCCGCCTCGGCAGTGATCGCTCGTCCGCAGCACGCCCGACGCGCAGCGCAAGCTCCGGCCGCTCGAGCCACTGGTTCTGGCGCCTCGGCCGCGCTGGCCATTGCCACTGCCACTGCCACAGCCGCGCGCGCCTCGCTCTCCGCTACCCGGCCATCCGCCGGCATCGCCGACTGTTCGACGTGCCAGCCAGTCGGCCCTCAGCGGCGAGAGCCCGAGCACCAGTCGCGCCGAGCGCCGTCGACCGGCTCGTCGGCCGAGCGCATCGAGCTGTGCCCCACTCGCCGGTGGAGGGACGACCGCGCGGGTCGCTCGAGCAGCGCAGTGGCAGCTGATCGTCGTTGTCGTCGTCGTCGTCGTTGTCGTCGTCGTTGTCGTCGACGGCGAGCAGCGCGCGAGCGGCAGTGGAAGGGGCGCCGGGACGTCGCGGAAGCGGCTCGCAGCCACGTCAGAGGCACACTGGCGGGCGCCTGCGACGCCGGGACGCCGCGCTCTCCGCCGTCCTCTGGCGCCCAGCCAGATCGCGCGCGCACGCGCCCTGCCCGTGGTCGGCCGGAGCCCTCGGCAAGCTGCATGCGCGACGAGGCGCTCGGCCCACCGAGCCGCGTGCTACCATCGCTTCTAAACCAACATGGCAACCCGCCCTCCTCTGCGCTTCTCTTCGCTCTCTTCGGCCGAGCGGGCTCGTCGACCAACCGGCTGCCACTGCCTCCAGATTCGCGGCTCGATCTTTTTAGAAATAGCAGGCTTTTGGCGATCGCCGAAATGATTCACGACTTCTTCCACAATTCATGGGCAGCGGATAAAACCGCTTGATTTTTTCGAGAAACATCTTGAAATATCCCATTTTCTAGATCTATTTTCGCGTATTTTATTTTCATTTTACGCTTCGTGCCTGTAAAATAAATTTGCCTGATATATCTTAAGCGGAAGGTCCCTCATCGTTTTGCAATTAATGGATGTCGTTTGCGATCGTTGTCCAACGATTTGATGAGTGACGTTCAGCGTACGATAAACGCGTGTTTGCGGGTAGCGCACAGGTTTCGGTCGAAGCACGTACGACTGCGAAAAGCGAGAAGGAAACATCAGTCGGCTGAGCGACCGAACCGACAGCGGTGAACAAGTTGCAGGCAGAATCGTACGGAAGCCGACCTAGAACGACCGTCGCCATGCGGCTGACCATTAGCGCTCCGACGGAGCGTTACCACTCGCACGCTCGGCACTCAACAACCGAGCACAGGCCCATTGCACTTCATTCGCGTGCGCGAGCGCCTCGTCAAGCTAACCGTCGCTGAGACTGCAAATGACCCGGCAAATTAAAGCAAAGAACTTTTATACAGAGGATGCAAGTTCGAGGGTTGGGTTCCAAAATAATGTCTCATCCGAATCTACCAAGCATGACTGCTGGGCAAGTCTCGCTTCGCCAGGTTCTTCTCGCACGTACCGAATGAACCCCCAAAGCGAATCGCCCATACATTAATCTTCGTTGTGCTACACGACAGATTGCGTAACGCGCGCGAGCTTTCGGAAACGCGCTCACAGTACAAAGGCAGCGTACGGCCCCAGCATTTTCCTGCAGCTGTCAATTTGGCGAAAATTTCCGCGCCAACTTGACCCGATGAAGACGCGCACCCGAGTACCGTCGTGCCGTCGTCTGCCCTTTACCAGAGAAACTTTTCTCTCGACAGCGTTCCTCCTTCTGTTCTTCCTTCTACTTTTCAATCCTCGACACCTCCGTCGTGATTTCTCGCCAAAGATAAGACTGCGCACGCTTGTCTTTGGCGCTATTTTTACCGTTCACTGACAACATCATACGATCAGGCGGCTCTTTACTGCTTTGCAGACGACAAATAGCCAATTTACTTGATGCATTCATTCACCAATTCTTGCAGCTTGACAACGCAAACAAAGATTTATTTCAAATGTGTACCATCAGTAGCGCAAGCCTCACTTTAAATCAATTCGCACAAATGCCGCTGCCTCCTAAGCCACACATTATTTAAGAAACTCTTGCCAGAAAACGCTGTTCTAAGACAACTGTTCTGCGGAGCACAACTAGTCTATGATACGATTTTGATGCATCAAATCAAAAAGTTCAGATACCTTTCAGATACGTTACCGTAAATATAAATACGAATGATATAATTATTACGAGTACGAAACAAGAGGGGTCACAAGAAATGACAACATAGTTAGTTTTCGTCGAGAATTGTTCTCGAGAGAGGTTCCATATATAAAGTTGCAAGCATACCCTGTGAATCCCAAGCGGTTTCATCATAACATGAAAACAACTCAATCTAACTTCGCAACTTCGTTTATGATTTTGTTCTACTAAATTTGATAACTAACAACTATAAACAGCCAGCGCTCAGAATAGTTCTTAATCTACGCAAATTTGGTTAACTCTAGTTTCGGTGATAGTCCGCATTCGATAGGACGTCTACTGAATCTCGCAGAAAATTTTGTAAAGGTTGGTTTGTTACTAAGTAGATGGCATTCTTGCATAATTCTCATAATTCCAACAAGCACATTTAACGGTGCATAGGACTGGTACTGATAATATTTTGAGGCAGTCCTCGAGACCTCTACTAACTTGCTATGACGCACGAACATTTCTAGATAACGTAAATACTCTGTCTAGAGCCTAGAAAATTATTACCTGCAATCAAGCAACTAAATTTTTCATAAGCGATATCTTTGGTTCTAACTAATATCATTGCAATTCATAACTAACAAACCGATTGTTCAGGCAACGGTTTTAAATTCAAAATGAAGTTGTTCAAATAATCTAACAATCCGAGATTACGGGATTTCCTTAGATAATGAATCTTTGGAGATTAAAGAGGCCTCGATCAACCGTGGCAAGGCCCATGACCTCTAGACTACTAAATGAGCACCTAGATAAAGTACGTTTTCTTTTTACTTATTATTGTATTGTAACGGGTGCCTGTCGACTGGCATGTGATAAGTTTGACAATGGCTTTAAAAAATGAAAATTTTTCTGAATAAACTTTTGCGAACACTGTTACACAGACACCATGAACGATCGACAGCATATTACAACACGTAAGCGGGTTCATCTAAACGTGCTCTCAGTTGCTTTTTATAGATACGTATTAAACGGCCAACAATTCGCTTGAGGAAAACCACGCTGACGTTCAAAAGTATAAACATAGCCATTTCAAAATGTCATTATAAACAAATGCATGGCATACCTGGCTGTACCGGTATGAGATTCTCTAATAAGTTCGCCTTTACAAAAATAAACTTTGTTATTTATTTCGATTCCACAAAAGAGACGATGACAGTGTTGGCATGCGTAAATACTAATTCCATACCTGAAACAGACATCAGAATAATGAAATCATACAATCAACGTCAGTCGACTTATTTGCACAATCCATATTTTCCAATTATCAAGTTACACCTCGACAGCTTGCAATGATCTTTTGATCTATTAATTTGAATTGGAGCTTGCAAAAAGATAAACTAGTATGAAAAGATTGTCAATGGCGAGCAAAAATCTTTGCTAAAGGGATAGAGAAAAGAGAAGGTTGCGAGAAGTGCGAAAGCTGCTCGACAAAAATACGACTGTGAGGTGCAGGAAGCAGTGAATTAAAGAAACAGCTACGCAAACTATTGCGAGAATTCCGCTCGACAGTTTGATCTTCATTCGCTTGGATGGTTTTTGTTATATATAGCTTGAATGACAGACGTGATCCTTATGACTTGATTAATGCCAGTCGAATTGGAGTTGTGAAAGATGTTAATGCGACTAGGTGTGAAAAGTCATGAGTGCGAAGGGGATGTTTGATGTTTTTGCAAAACTGCACGACACGAGAGCAGAATGAGGGAGGCATGCAAAAGGTAGCGTGCTGAAAGTCACGGATTGTGCAATTGGTCGACAATGTCCTCGCGCGTCGTATCAAGAGTTAATCTTCGCGCTAGTGCGAGTAGCTAAGCAGGGATAAGGAGCGATTGGATCGTAAGTTGGATTGGCAAGGCCAATCGAGCTCGGCTTCGACTGGGAAAGCTAGGTGAAAGCCGCTGCTCGGGATTGGACTCGAAAAGCGGCGAGCCGAGTCGCGGGTGGTGTCGTCCAACTGAGCTAACGCTGCTCTGTGGTCGTGCTGAGCGGAGGAGGCTACGTGCATTCGAAGTTATTTCTAGATCGACCCAGATACAGCTTGTGGACGCGCCGCTACTTCTTTCGCTGTATCTCGCTCTCTTGCGAGCTCACAGACACACATAGGCACGCGAGTGCGAGGGCGACTGCGAGTCGTTAGACTGTTTCGGGTAATTAGCGGATTGCGCGCCCGCCAGGCGAGGAGCACGAGGCGCACGGTATTATTCTCGAAGCAATTGCCTAACGACGTGTCACTCCACGACTGCAAGCCACCCGACCACCTAAATGCGCGTGTCGTCCGCGTCCTCCTCGACGGCTCATCTCATCGGCCACTCTCAAATAACCAGTGCAGAGAAAGTGCAAGCTCAGAGACATTGATGCACCGACCGAGCTCCCTGTGTGGATATCGACATACCTTTACGTGTCTGCCAACACGTAAAGTTCATTGTGTCTTTTAATGCCGTTTTTATCGATTACTTTGTCATTACTCGCATGCAATTTTCGCAACGTTATCACAGACAAGCAAATTAAATCACAAACGCTTGTAAATCGAGCTCCATTTAACAGTCGTCAAGTTTCAGCGTCTCGACTATTTATTTACTGTATTATCAAATTCATTAATGTATTATATGTACGCAGCATTATTTTTAACCTGATTTAAAAAAGCATTCTGCTGACATTTCACCAAAGAGACAAATTCATGAAGATCATTTCAAGAACTAGTGAAATTTTTTGCATTCTTTCCAGGACGCAGAAATAACAGGATGAATGTCCAATACCTGGCTATTTTCATTTTTACCCTTAATGTGTTGTTTATCGTTTCCATCATTCACAAGTGATTAAATTCGATGTTTCCGATTTATCGAATGTTTCTATACAAAGTATAATAGACATTAGAGTGATCAGATAATAAGCAAAAGGTGGAATAATGGAAAAAATTGCCAGGTATTGGTACATGCGAAATATCGCATTTAATTTAAAAAAATAACTAACAAGCCGGTTCAATAAACGAACAATTATCGTTGTATTACGTTATCTAACCTTTCTAGAACACGATCAATTGTCAAATAGAAAGCTATATGCACTTATTCAATTTGTTTTAGCTTATGGGATTCAACATCAAAACCCTTCCTCACTGCAAATAAGTATGCAAATTTTCTATAAATTTTAAACTAACTTTGCATAAAATTTGTACAAATTTTGTAATCAATAATCGATTGATTCTTAAAAATCGAATAAATAAATAATACTCGCATAATATGAATAAAATAATCTCAGCAGTTTCCATATATGAAAAATAAAAGCAAT